CTTGATGTTTATGCCCCACAACACCTCCGACCACCGCTCCCGCCACCCCTTCAGCAGCAGTGACTTTATCAACGATGTCTTCGACGTCAACAGGCCTTCCATGGCTGCGGATGACGGCCGCTGTCCAGGCGATCACTGGTTATGATAAGTGGTGTCAAAGTTTGGTTTGTTTTCACGATTTGTGGCAAACATTTGACTGTTTGTCAAACGAGACCAGTGCTCGGCATTTCGACGTGATTTATAGGAAAATAAAGGCGAAATTTGTGTCATGACTATTTCATGGCAATTTTAATATTAGATAAAACGTTACATATAATTAACATTTGCTATCCCCCTATAAATGTGTGTTATTTTTTGCTAAATATACTGCATATCAAACAATTAAAAACTACTTATCATAACTGTTTCTGTATAAAATAAATATCATTCATAGTCTCAATGTCTGTATGTTTTATGCACTATTATACACATTCATGTAAATCCTTTGATCGGACCGATAGACAGACACTGACGCCAAACACACCGACAAAAAAGTGAGACATTGAGTGAGTAGTAGTACAGTGTGTGTGCGAGAGAGAGAGAGCTAACAGTATCAGTATCTCATTGTACCCCTACACCTCCCTTTTGATAGTAGCGAACCCACCCATTAATATAGAGTAACGGTATATGTGTTGCCAGTAGTGCCCATTCAAATACATGCAATACGTTTTCCCATAGAATAACATTGTGATACTTATGTGATATGTGGTTTTCGCTGAATGAGACGCTCATAAACAGGACATTATTTGTGAGTGTATTCATTGAGAGTTAGACCTTTTTATATCTACACATTCGTACTATTGACTTACGACAGTTGTTTACATACAAAAGTACTTAACTATAAATAAAACTTTATTTTGATTTAATTGACAAATTAATTTATCTAAACTTAATAACACTTCTAATAAATTAAATCCCAATTGAAATAAACATTTAATAATTAAATTAAAAGCAAAATTTTACACAAAACCCAACAAAATTCACGCAAACCCCACACCGAGTCCAGCAAACGGGTGGACGTAATCCATGGACCGACCCATTGGACAGACATTCACTTCCTTTTCCCATTGCATGCCAACAGTGAAGACACGCATTGAATACCAATTCTTGAGTAGTCTTTGAAGTGATGGCAGACAAAGAGCCAAAGAAGGCGAAAAAGGCGGCGCCAGCGGCCGCACCGGTAGCCGCGGAACCGGTCAAGAAAGTGAAGAAGTCTTCGCGCAGAGGAAAGTTCAATACGGCGACGCCCGGGAGGTATGCCTCACACACGAGACACCCGCCACCGACTCACGTGTTTGTCACGGGTTTCGGTGATCGTTGTCTTGCAATGTCTTCACCACTCGCACGGTGATAGTATGCGTGTGAACTCGTTGTCTAACTATTGTCTTCACTCGTGGACAGGCTGTACGTGAAGGCCATCTTCACCGGCTATAAGCGATCGCTTCGTAACCAACGCGAGAACACAGCGCTTCTTCGGCTGGAAGGCGTGAACAGGAGATCCGAAACGGACTTCTATTT